AACTACTGGAATAACCTCCAATGAGGCACAGCCAAAGGAGGTTTTTTTGAGCAAAGTTCGCGGAGGAAAATACGCTCTCAGGTAGATTCGCCGCGGACCCTTACACAGGGAACTTCTTGACACCTCTTTAGTTACCGCCATCATCTATATGCAAGCGATGGTGAACAAACTGAAGGAAGCGTTCTTGTGCTGACCTAATCCATTTGATTGATAAAGCGCATGTCGATAATTGTACAAGAGAGGAAAAGTTATCGCATAAACATCGGAAAGAGTGGAGGGAATGAGTGAGAAAGCTGACCATTCGCGGCTTCAGTATACTCACTGCATTATCCCTAATTGGATTCTCTTCTGCTAACTTCAGTTTGTCACTGTGGATTCTATCGACATTTTTAGAGAACTCGTTTCGATTCAGATGTTTTCACTTCTCGGTAAAATTTTTGGCTGAATCATTTACGTTTCAGAAAAATTTGTAACTTTTGTCACCATATGGAGTGCTTTCTCTGTTGTTACAGTAACAGTTTCCAACTGTTGAGCAAATAATGAATAATGAATGCAAATAATGAGCAAAATCCGATTTCCTTATCTAATGACTCACACATTCTATTGAAATAATATTTAGGTCTCATGTCCTCAAACTTTACTCGCTATGTTGGAAGCTGCATTCAGTATAATGAACGAGGAGCGGAAGTCTCAACATTTTTTGCCAGCTTTACGTCATACGCTGAGGTAGAAAACAATTTATTTTCGATGCTGTTTATACTGTTTCGAATTTACGAATACAGTCAAGTCTTAGTTATTTGAAAGCGTTCAATACAATCCATCTATCCAGTTCATTCAGCCTGTGTCTCAAAAATTCCGCTATGGCTCAACCGAACATCACGCAATTTGTATTGGTCCGTTGCTTTTCTCGCTCTCAATTTCTTTATCAGAATGATGCATCTCTGTAGGACAAATGTGCAGAACTTCTGGAACTGGCCAATCTCAACACACCAGTGGCTCTTATCCTGTCGCAGTGCCTACTGGATACTTGTCGGGCAAATCCTTTGAGTGAAGAGTGGGCCAGTATAGTAAGTACATGGACAAAGGTGTTGAACTTTTGAGTTTTTCTGATGTTCTCTTTGATTTCATTAGGTCTTTGCTCTTGCTGTTTTTGGTCCAATACCGAAAAAGGAACAGCGGGTGCTTGATGCCGCCTATGAGATGATTTACGAAGAGCGCGTCAATGAATTCGATGATGAACATAGGTGAGGGTTGATGAAATCGGATCGAACTTCTTGTTTGATTCCCGTAATTCTAGGCCATTCGAGGTGCTTCAGCGTACAAGGTTGAATGGGATCTGTGTTGCTCTCCGCCTTGCTGAGGAAAATTCGAAGTTCGCAAATTATCTTGTTGAACACATTATTACTGAAACAAATGTTTTAAACAAAAGCTCATCTCGGTAAGCAATTTGCGTAGTTTTTCCTTTCGCATAGTTCAATTTTTTCTATAGTTCCTTCGGCTTGTCACTCGCTCATCGTCAAAATACTCGTGCGGCTGCTCTATTGCTACTTGTTGCTGACTATGTGCATGATGAGGTACGGTGCTCCGAATAATTGATAATTGTTGCTTTGCGATCCTACAGCAGGAAATGGTGTTAGTTCGTAATGGTTTTTTTGAAGCAACAAGATTTTTTTTATCTCTGTGAGTCCAAGTTATTGGTAAGGCTTTTATGGTTGCGCATCCTTGGGTGGTTAAGCTCGTATGAGCATGTGTCAGAGCAGTTATAAAGCGTTATGGCAGAAGGGGGGGGGGTGGCTAATAATCGGCTTCAGTTAAGAAATGCAGTGCTTGCAATCTCAAACTATAGTAAGTTGAAATTTCGCAGTTCGAGCTGAGTAATTGAGGACCAGAGAAGTGTAAGGGTCACTCTATTTTCACGTTGTGCCAACTTTTTCTTTGACTTCTTACTATTACCTTCATATTTTCTACTCATTTCTTAGCCCAGATCTGAATGTGACGCCGTTTAAGCACATTGGTTCTTTGCTTCTTTCAACACCATCATTTTTAATGATGCCGTTTTGTAGGCGATGCTACGAAAAATTTCCCAATTAAAGTTGAAAGAAGGGGTGATAGAGACATCGCTGGTACCCGTCAGGAGGCCCGTCGCGCGGCAAGAAGGCAGAGTTAGCGGACGAGTCGCAGCGCGTGATGTGCGATGTAGGACGTACAATGGTACATTCTATTTAACTTGACGCGAAATCACTACAGTACGCGCTGCGACTCGTCCGCTGACTGCCTTCTTGCCGCGCGACGGGCCTCCTGTCGGGGACCCGATATCGCTGGTTGCAAAATTCAGAGAAAACGACATACCTTGACAGCGCTTGACATCAATGAATAGCAAAGTACAGCGGAGGAGACGTACATGATCACGGCAGGTGGCGTGGCCAGGGTTGGGATGAGCTACATAGAGATAGGCGCGCAACTCATGGCAACACATGTCTCTACTCACTTTTTCGTCTCGGCGCGCGTCACGGCGTTTTGGGGTCGCGCTGTCCTTTACGGTATGCATACCTGCCTCTCATATATCGTTTAACATCCTCCTTTACCACATTCCTACCGGTGGCAGCCTCCATGGGCTATCAGCCTATTACCGCCTACCAGCCGTTTGTCGTGGTTTTTTTTGGCAGATTTTGATATCAGAATAATTTAACGTATTATGGACTTCTAAAATTTCTGCGCTGTTTATGTTTTTGATTTTTTTATATTTTTATTCATATATTTTTATTTTTTATTTTTCAATACTACACAAAATCCACGGATGTAAGGTGAGGCTGCAGCGAAACGCGCGACCGTACCACCAAAAGCAAAAAGGGCTATCTCATGAATGTGTTAAATAAATCGAACAATGAAACGAAGTCGCGTGCTGTTAATTGACACTGGTAATATTAGGTCATCTCATTCAAACATGTCCACGGTTTTATTCGAATAAAATGAACAGCAGGAAAGATAAAAAGCTAATACTTTGGTGTAAGTCAAGCAGATCTTGTCGTTGTTAACGACCCGATCCCAGCGTCTAGAAAACACTGGACACCGCGCAGCTTCTTCATTTCAACAAGTATAGACAAGATGCTTTTGATGTCAGTATAGATGATCAACGAATTGTCGTAGCGCTTCCCAACGAGTAGGGCGTTCAGTTCGATAAAACAGCTGAGGTCGCACGGCTGCAGTTGGGAAAATACGGCTGATAAGAAGAGGTCACAATATCCGTTTGGTCGAAATACCCGTGAGCAATATGAGCTATGTGGGGTCTGGCATCGACATAGGTGATGATATCGTTATTGTAGTTTTATACTGCTATTCCTTTGTCAATTTGTTCGCTAAGAAACAAGCCAACACTTGAGAAACGCCGGAGGTTTTTTCCCGACAGAGCCATTTAAGAGGCACATCTCAGAAATCCATCGCCATAATAATCATCCACGTGAACCCACGTGACTTCTCATGATCCGATTAGGGTAGTTCCTCATTAGCGTTCATCCAAAGTTGACGCTTCTGACTTAGGCCTCAGGGTACAATTCCACACAAATTTCGTTTATGAGCAGGGTCCAGTTTGATAGTCTTAAATGCCGTTATTGCAGAGAAAATCATTGCTACAGACACCAATTCGATTCTGGACTCCTGCATCTGGGAGTAAATGGCATATCCAAAAACATGTTCTGTGGACCATCCCCAATTTTTGGGCACAATTTGCGTAACAGGTGCAGCTAGACTGCAAGTCTCGTGGGCAAACATCGCAAAGGTTCAACATCTGTGATGCGCCATTTGAAACCTCATTTCATCCACCCGCTCTTCTTGGGAAGGTGGACAATATGAACGCGTCCTCAACCACAACTCGCTTCCGTTCTCCCTTCTTTGAGCTCTCACACCATATCTTCCCCATAGCACATCGAGAACACTGTATCACGCGTAAGTTGAGCCAGCACACAGAGAATTCGAGTTGCAAATTTTACGTGTGTCACCAGTCATTTGGAAATTCCACCTCGATTTGGGTCACTATGAATTCTTTTATGTGTTTAAGTGTTTCCTCCTGCAGCACTATAAACTAAATTAGGTATACCGTAGCTGGGTGTGCTAGCTTAAAAGCAAAAGCAAGTAGAATGCTCTAGCTCTTTTACTTTTCCCACCATTTCTCTAGATGTCTGGACATGTTTGAATGAGTTGACCTAATATATATATACTTTCCGCGTTGTTTGCTTCGTATAACATCTCTTCCAACTGCCATTTTTGTATCAATTTGGCATTCCACGCAATGAAAATTGATACGTTTGAACGACATAACGGCTTGAAGGATGTGACATCGGGGCACAGGCGTTCCGCGGAATGGAGAGTAGTCGCGCTCTGAAGTACGGTAATGTAAGAAGGCGTGGGAGATGTTAAACTACACAGCAGATTGCTTTCAACGCCTCGTCGGTTGTACTATGCCAGAAAGATGGGCTCCAAGAAGGTAAAGCCGCGAGTAAATAACGCAGTTTAGATGAAATCCTAGTTGTAGGCCCTGTTTAGGGGGCCTAAAATTGCTAGGAGCAGATTGGCTCACACCAGCACACCATTGTCGCCTTTCACGTGTATCTACCATTCTGAGTGAGAGCTGAGTGTGTAGCGCCCTCCTCTACGAGATTGAGCGACACTGAACCTCTTCTTTCTAGTGTACTACCCCAGGTTTACTGATCGAATTCAGTAAATGGCTTAGAGGAGGGTTCAATGGTTTTTAGAAATTATGAATCTCATGTTCTCGGAGTTCACTCACCACTTTGCGTAAATATTATTCTGAAGCAGTTCTGGGTGTATTGGAAGATTGAGGTCTGGGTGCTTCAGTCCCACATAACTGCAGAACAAGGCCATGTTTTGAAGTGACTCTTCTGGACAGTTTCACAACTTTTCGAGAGGCTGATGGTTTGAGCTATACAAATCTTCTTACCATTTTGCACAGAAGCACTTCCGATGCCAATTTTGATCGTTGAAAGAAAAAATGCATATTTCTTTGTATTTTTACTCATTCATTAAGCTGCAATGAGAAATTTGAAGTTTTTGGACCATCTTGTTGTGTGATTGGATCTTGAGTTTCAGATCTGCATGCATTTTATCGAAATTAGCTTATTTTTGAAGTTCTAGTCGTTCAAGGGAGGATTATTCACTGCTATCGTTTTAACACACTAAGAAACATAATGCGCACCAAACTAAGCTGTGAAAGCAATCACAACTGGCTTTTTGTGTAGTGGGATTTCATTAGTCTAAGTTTTCAGTACCGGAAAGAGTGAAAGAGGGAGCGTTATGGAGACTTCTTATAAAGGGAGGGTTTTTTTCTGACATTGAAATTCGCATTACGATGTATCCAGGGGACGATGATGATGTCTGAGGGATGTGGCCCGGCGCCTATCCACATGAACGATCGTCAGAAAGTTAAAGCAATAAGTGGGCAGGTGAGAATGAAAAAGTGGGAATCGAGATTCCATAGAACTTGTTAAAGCAACAGTCCCAGCAGGGTTTTTACCTTCGACACTAATGGTGTGGAACGATGCGCTAGCCCTAGTCAAGAACATAAGAAGTGTGACTGAACAAAAAACTCACCTTGGAAAGCCGCTAGAAAGGGAGCTGAACGGCTTCGAAGTGGGCGTGGTTGGAATCGGCCGAGGGGATTGCAGCCAACCACGCCCACTTCGAAGCTGTTCAGCTCCTTTCTAGCGGCTTTC